AACTTGAGCGAGATGGTGAGCATGTTCCTCTCTGCTTTTTGAATAGACCAGGATGTCATCGATAAAAACGATAACAAATTGATCTAAGAATTATTTGAAGATCCTGTTCATCAGATCCATGAAGATGGCTGGGGCATTGGTTAGCCCAAATGGCATGATCAGGAACTTATAGTGTCCGTACCTAGTTCGAAAAACCGTCTTGGGGATGTCTTCTGTCCTTATTTTCACCTGATAGTAACCTGATCGTATGTCTATTTTAGAAAAGACCTGCGCACCCTGCAACTGATCGAAGAGGTCATCAATCCTGAGAATGGGATACTTGTTCTTGATTGTGACCCTGTTCATCCCCTATAATCAATACATAGTCTCAATGTTCCATCTTCCTTTCTGACAAAAGTGACCCCGGTACCCCAAGGGGACACACTATGTTTGATAAAACCATTGTCTTGTAATTCAATGATTTGTTTCTTTAGCTCTTCCATCTCAACACGTCTCATGCGGTAAGGAGCAACCGAGATAGGTTAGGTGCCTGGCTGTAGATCTATAGTGAACTCGACTTCCCTGTCCACTGGCAGTCCGGACAGTTCATCCAGAAACACATCTGGAAAGTCTCGAACTACCGGAATCTCTTGAATACAATTCTCTTTCTTGGATTTGCCTACTTAGATAAAATAACAAGGTTAAGGTACTCGACAAATAATAAACTTGCCATCAAGGAATAAGTATTAAATAATTTTATTAATTTGTAAATGGCTCCTCATTAGGAGGATTGAATACAATCTTCTTACTAAAACAATCTACGGTGGCGTGATACGCCACTAGCCAATTCATTCCTAAGATTACATCAAAATTTCCCGTGTTTAATTCTGTTAGGTTTACACTCAGTTTTTTATTTGCTATCTCTACGGTACAAGCTCTGTAGATAACTTCTCCCAATAGTGTTACACTCCTAGCAGTAGACACAAATAATATTAAATCAAGTTTATCAGGTAATACATTAAAATTGGATGCAAAAACAGGTAAAATAAATGAATGTGATGCACCAGTGTCAATCAAAACATTAGCAAGATAGTTACAGATAATATACATACCCTGTACCACGTCCGGGTCGGCTTCGACATTTAGCTGGGTAAAGTTGTAAGCCCTGGATAGGAGGTCTTCCCTGATTCTGGTTCCTTGGGCACTCTCTCGCATAGTGTTGGGCACTACCACATATGCGACAGGTGTTGTTGAGGCGGTAGCATGGTCGGTTCCCGTGATCCCTACCGCAATGTTGACATATCTTACCACGCCCTGTCACTAGAGCCTGGGGGGAGCTTGGATCACCGGTCTGGGCCTCTTGTTCTATTGGACAGACGCAGTAGGTGCTGGTCTGCGGGGTGGAGCTGGGGCTCTGTGATTCCCTACTGACTGAGGGAGGGTGTGGAGGCTTCTCTCCACTAACTGTGCTTTGGCCAGAACGGCCGAGTAAGTCCCGAGCTCTAGTACAAACAAAT